TGTTTAAGCAATATTATACTCTATTTTATCTCAACTACTTAGGTCTGTAATAAAGCTTAAACTCACTCTTTGTTCATATTTGTTGCTTGCCTAAAGTCTGGCTGCTTTGATTAAAGGCACGACAGCACCAATGTTTGAACAAGGTTGTATTTTCGTCGAAAACATCATAGTTTCCATGGTGAGACCAATATGTTTAGCATTGAACACTGCAAATGTATACTATCATCCCAAAGAATCTCCAGCTCCTTTCTGTATATATCTTGTAAATATACTTCCAATGATGCATTATCCATAATTGTATTTTATGCGATTTCGCAGTATCCTAGGACGTCCTCCTCATCCTGAAATGGATTTTAATCACGTGGTGGTATAGTGCCTACCCAAGCATACGCTGTTCACTGGTTGAACATAACTATCAGCAAGAAACGGAACGAAGTTTGGGTTGTCGCTAGACTTTGAAGATGACCTTAATAAAGGGTTTACAATTTAACATTTATAAGAACCTGGTCTGATTGCTTGTAAAATAATCGAACAACGTAAACTTTTGAAAAAGTATTAATTTCTGATACTTCAGGATTGTAATTTATACCATAAGTGATCGCGCCTTTAAAAGTGGCATGCATTTCTTGTAAACACCAGTTCATACAAAATATAAATTATTACTATTCACATCGCGTCGAAAATACTCCAGCATGTTGAGATTGTTAGTCTATGTTAGACGGAAGCTGAACTTCTGCAGCTGTTTTGGCGGCCATTGTTACAATATGATGCCGGGAATACTTGCAAAATATGTAGAGCCTATACAAATATTAAGTTTCTACCCGAATAACCACACGCTTCAATGATCGCGGTGTTACGACCAGGGTGTCCCTAACACATCATCATTGAGTCTATGGAATTTTTACCAACAAACAGAAAAGATGACAGATTTATTCTAATAATAGTCAGTTATTCTACGGGGTGTTGGAGGCATTCTCAATCGCAAAACAGGACGCAATCTTTGTGGCAACTCGATTCTCCACTGTAGGCGACAAGATACAGAGCTCCAGTGGAGTTGAATTAAGCTCAAGGAGTGGCATTTGAAGGCTTCATTTAGAATCTGGGAAATATCCACCACACCACATCACCTATGAGGAAGCGTACTGTGAGAGAGTAAGACAAAAGTTTGCAGAGCATTGTTTCGTGCACTTATCATCTGCACATCAGCTGAATGGTAGGACGAAGCACTGTACGATGCTTACTTTCATTTGGAATGTCTATACATTCGCCTGTTGGATATTCAGCGGTCCATTTGCTATCCTGCCATGAACTATGTCTGGATTGTGTGACCTAGATACAACAGATTCCTTACGAACCCGTAGACTACACTCAGTACCTCAAGATTCTCCGTTGAAAGTAGCATATAGAATAAATCACGACCGGCTAGCTTTTGGAGATACATTTGCACAAAGGGATTGTATCTGGTTTCACTATAACAACAATGTCTACGGCACTAAAGTATAAATACATAAACACAGGTGAAAGAAAATGAAGAGAAATCAACAAATACAAATCATTTTCAAATTTTTTACAGTAATACGTTTCAAAGTTTATGAATCCCGTCTGCTTTTCGCCGCGTTCTAAATTACACTGGCATCAGAAAAGTGTCCATGGTTTTTAAAGGTTGAGCTGTTCGCCGAGTTTAAGATGTTATTGTAAGACTGCAGACATACTAGAGTGCCAAGGGGCTTGAAGTGACCAGTTACATTAGTAAGTTATATTCTGTTGAACAAAATAGTAATTTCATGCAGTAAATTATTGATTATATATTTAAGAAAAGCCAAAGACTATTCCCTTCTTTGAAATGTGATGTGAATTAACCTTAGCTCCTGAATGAAGTGTTGGCTGAAAATCAAACCGCAATCTGCTGATTCTTCCAGATTATTGTAGACAATGCCATTTCAATAAATATTAGCATATCTAACCTTGTTGTTTACTCTGTACAAAATCCTTCAATAGATTTCGCACTAAGCCTTGTGTTGATGTCTATGGAAACCACGCATAGATTAACTTTGTGATGCATATAACCGAGAGGCAATGAACTTCTCTGACCAATCCAATGATCAGTCTTCTTATCATAGGAATTAATGTCGTTGACTCGCGATTAGGATTTTTTTCGATAAATCTTCTCTGTAGGCTCGTAATTCAAGAAGTGTACTTATTGTGATTGCGATTATGATAGTATACTACACCCACGTTCTACGATATGCTAATGTTGTACACGGTCAGACGTGAACACAGTTGTGTTAACCAGCAGAAGTTAAAAGTTGAGAGAGAGAGAGAGTATTTTGTCACTCAGACGAACCTATTTCATGTAACCGCACTGACAACCAGGACGGAGATGGACTGTCGGAAATTGGGAATATATTATTATTATTTGTCATCCCTTCGCTCAGAAAAAGCTGACTATTTCGGACCACTTGTAGTAGACATGTTAGAAGAGTAGCAAACGTTATGGCAGCATTTTCATGTCTCCAGAGAATTTGAGGATTTAAGAGGGGAAGTTGGAAGCAATCGGTTGTCATTGAGATACCCCATCCGTCTGTCAGAAAGAAATATTCAGCTGTAACGGTTCCCACACAGTAGAAGCTGAAGTTGGATGGCACCAGTGTATGTGGTGGTGGAAACAAGCAAATAATAATGACCCACTGTATAAAAGTAATGACTGTAATTTTCATGTGGATACGCAAAGGACTTAATGATCACGTTTTACAGCATTCTAGTGATAGCCACTGCAGTAAATTTAGTCTTTTACTTCCTAGTTCACCCTAAATTAACCACGAGATATTCTGGGTAGTTTTCGAGGTCATTGGTTCGTTTGGATCGCTCTATTCACAGTATAGTTGAGTCGTCACGTCCAGGAATAAAGAGGTATTCCATTTGTCTAATTTTGTGAAAATGAGAAGTGTAGAACTAGTTTTAGGCTTCCGTAGTCGAAGTACTCAATTCTTTCTTATATTTCGGTCGTAATGTCACCCATAGCTATCCTGATATGCCAGAGGAGGAGGAAATGCACCCGGATAAATAGTGCGTAGAAAGGGCTTCTGTTTTTGTTTCGAAGAGTCTTATGTTTCTGAATATTTTTTTCTTAATTTTCTGAGTTATAAACTGATTAAATAGAGTCATTGATGGTATGACAACTATTCTATGAGATCCGGCATTTCGATGAAGCATACATTCGCATATGCAAGTCATATATCTGTTCTGAGGAGTGCATGTTGCGTTTGAGTCATTTTATTTTCATCCGAAATAAATGAAACCGTTCATAACACATCGAAGAAACCAAATTATGAATGAGACGCCCGACCACATTTCGTGGTGATTATGCCCGTTTCGAAGTTCATAGTTAAAATGATTTAGCGGGGGATGTAATACAAGAGGAATTCACATTTTCATATGGTGGTACATACAGCACCGTGCATTGAAGCTAGAAGAATATTACGTATGGCCCTTCTGAAAAGCTATACTCATTACAGAAGTCAAGAGCCAGGCAACAATAGTTTATTTAGGAAATCAACAAATATAGATTTTCATGTACATTATTATAGATTATTGTAAGCAAACAAACACAGTCTTCTGATTGGCGGTTTCTTGTTAAACATTAATCTTTCATGTCTTTGTGGCCGTTTATTGAAGTTCAGATTGTCTATCTGCAAGTTGTATCCACCTACGCAAAGTCTGCTGTGGCTGACTGTTGAGTCGGTCTTTGTCCTATTTTTTCTCACAGCCATTATTGGGGAGGTAAACATCGACGTAAATTACTGTCTACCGTTTTGGCTAGCTCTCACCACAGTATTACCTTTCTGCCTAATAGTAGCTAGCGGCTACATCCTACTACTACAATACACCTTTTACATAAACTATATCAGTTCTAATAATCATTCATTTTCTGATCACCAAGGTATTCTAGGCTCCTTAAGGATTTATGTGTGGCTTTGAAATTTGCACTTCTGACGTCAAATCGAGGGATCGTCTTCGTGGTAGTTTCACTCGCACTGATTGACTGCGATGTACTTCTAGTGAAGGCTTCGCTAATTAGTACCCATTATTGCTACTGCATGTCACAGTTAATTCGCAAGAAAGACGGAATATTAGACCACACAATTGAGTGTTCTCATAGAAGAGATGCATACTTGCCGTTCTTCGCTAAAATCTTACCACATCTCAGTAGAGTGATGTACACCCGCACTAACTTAGTTGGTTGCTAACCTAAAATTCAGACACTGGTAGTAAAAAGTAAATTAAAAGGCCAAGGTACTTCAAAAGTTCTGCCAATAATATATTTGACGTCTAGGTCCTTTTAAGTGGAAGTCTGACATTCGCCTGGCACAGCAACTCTGAGTCTGTACAGTTACCAACCAGACGAAAGAATGAAAACGGTAGTTGAAACTGCTGAAATGAACACTCATCAAAACTGCAGACACTTAAAGTATCCAGGTACGACTGAGCCGTTTATCCCGCCAGTACCCATCTATCTCCGTACAGTTCTACTTATTTTGGACCGTAATCCATTTTCATGATGGAAGGTGGGCGATAGTTCAATGCTAATAAGGCCCACAATTTTTGCAGGATAACGCCGTCAAAAACCCAAGGGTTATTATTCCTTATAAATCACAAGAAAGACCGTTTTTTGTTCTATCATTTTAAGTACCACCTCATTGTTAGTACAGTATTTATACTCTGCAAATTTGCAATCAACCAGATACACCATCCTAGTCAAGATCAATGGACATCATTGTGGAAACCTCTACACATTCTATCACCCTAAAGTCTTCAGCTCCGGAGGGCTGCCCGTTGGGCTCTGCTTATCTCTTATTCCTATCGTCATAACACAATTGTTTGATCTGTCATTAAATACAACTTCTCATTATTTATCCTATTTGTATACTAGCATAACTTTAAGAAGATTTTTCCAATGAATTGAACAATCACTTGAAATAGTAAAACAACTCTGCATAATATTTATGAAAAAGCGATAAAATATATTCGTTGTGTTTAGAAAATTATGAATAGATATATATACTCATCAAAATTTAAAAGCCAAGTGGTAACACATAGACTCAACAAATTTCACTTCAACTTGTTGCAATATTTACAAGAAGATGAAATACTTTGTCAAAGTTTAAAATACACTTGAAGCCAACTTTTTTTTCACATAATATGCGTAAGTAAAGGGGCCAAGTATTTTAGATTGTAGTCGGAAACGGCAATCGATTCATGAAAAAAGAATTCAGAAGGCTTCTATAACATATTCGGCCAATAACTCTGAACCATGCGCAGTTTGTGGCATGCATACTTTACCGAGTCTGAAAAGTAATTAGACAAATGGAAGAGATAGTAAGCAACAGGAAAGTTAGACTAGACTAGATCACCTCACTTGAAACGTTTTAATAATTTACAATTAAAAAAAGCAACGCAAGATAAACGTTGTGTGTCGGTGGCACAGCGGTAGAATGTTCGCCAACCACGTATATAGTCCGAGTTTGATCTCATACCGATGCACTCCTTTAACTCGATAAGCCAGACTGGTAAAGGTGGAAGGCTGGGTATGAGGCTAGCAATCACATCCCGTAAAAGTAAACACCACTGCTACCGAAAATTCAAGCCTCTAGCTTGAAGCCCACTGTTCCACTAGGAACGTACAGGAATGAAAAAACAAAACATGAACGTTAAGAAAATTTGAAGCAAACTGAAATAATATGATAGGATTCATTAGATAGTAGAAAAACTGAATAAAGTATAATTATATTTCAATAGTTTACACACAATGATAATTTTTGTCATTGGTAATATTATTTCGAGCAAAATAACAAAACTTATCATTGTGTGTAAACTATTGAAATATAGTTATACTTTATTTGATCTATTCCACAATGCTCAAACGTTTTACTGACATTAAGACAAACTGAAGTTGGGTCTTTATCTATTTCATGACTGGGTAAAAACTTATGAAGGAAGTTAAGTGTTTAGTTGATTCACACAAAACCACCTTAACGTGGACCCGATTTACAAAGCCGCTTGGTACATGTTGTATGCGTGTCCAGTAAGAAACTATAGCCAGTTCACACGTTTACGTAAATGACAGAAAAACAAAATAAGTGGTTATAAGAGTCCAAGGAAATCACACGCTGCACGAATACTAAGACGGTACAAGTTTCTCTTAAGAAAGAGGATCTCTTTAATCACTCTTTGTTATTCCTGTATGTTGTGTGTCGGTGAGTCAAGAGGTAGAATGCTACCCAAACACACATCTGGTCAAGGGTTCGATTCCTGACTGGCATACACCTTCACCTCACTTAGCCAGTTATCATCCTGACAAAGAGGGTAGGTTGGGCGTGAGGTTAGCACCTCCGCCCCGTAAAAAAATACCACCACTACTACTGAAACTTAAAAGCTCTAGCTTGAAGCCCTATGTTCCAATCGGAACGCAAAGGAATAAAATAAAAAAATATATCTCTGCAGCCCAAATGTTGTAGTTCTGATGATGATGGCACTGGATTTGGGTTTATTCCTACCGTTAATTCAACACGCAACAATATACGACTGATTACTCGAATACTATTCACGCACTGGGAACAACACAGAAGAAAGGGTAATATGACATGAGATTACGATTAATTGTATAATTATTTCACACGACATAAAGACCACCATTTCAACACATAAAAACTACATTTTGATTGGATGGCATGCATTAAAAATAAATCCAATGACTTGAGCCTTAATCAACGACGTTAGGATCAAATGTTTCGTAAACAATGACTCATAAACACTCTTCCTACAGTTTGAAATATACGACGTAAGCAGAATGATGAACTGATCAAGCATTATGTTAACCCATACACACAACGGAATTTATCACACAAACAAATGCTGTATGATTGATTATACAACACACCCAAGAATCTCTCATAACATCGACTGGAAAGGTTGATAATGTCGGTTGTTATAGTGAATAGCTTACTACTACTACACACCGATAAGTAATTAATATGTGCCACCTATAATGAATACGATCACATATTTATAGAAAGCATAAAATAATCAAAACAACTAAAACGAATGGAACTAAAATATTAGCTGTGATAAAAAATGAAGAAATAAATGGGGACAAGTCAGCAACACAATTTAATACAGACTAACTGCGTAGATGTGCAACGCTCCATTTAGAAAACTAAAGTAGGGGAAAGAAATTCGAAAGAACTATAATGAGCAAAAATAAACAGGATAAAGAATACTAAACACTGAAAAACATGAGGAATTACTGCATTACGGAGATTACAAAGAGTGAGAACATTTGTGCCATAGAAAACAGTTTTGAGTTTTATCACCAGCCGTCTCAAGCCATTGGTTCCCAGTATTCTGAAGACGCCAAACAAGCAAACTACATGTCCCTACCAAGCTCAGACTAACTTTCAAAGAGTTTGTGTAGATTGATGCCAGATTTCGGTTTGAACACTCGTAACCCTTTACCAATCTAAATCCTATGTGAGCTAAAATTGTTAGTTGAGGCAGACGAGATTGGAGAAGAAAAGCCAGTACCACACAAAGAAACACAACAGTTACTAGTTGAAAAAGAACAAGAACAAGAAGTAACATACCATTCTGTTGAGTCATTTCATACACAATGCGTATTGACGTTGGAGTAGGCTTTTCAGCCTCTATACGCATTATCCAAAGTTCTGGTGGAACCCTAAGAATAAAAACAATAAATGACGATTATTTGGCAGGCGAAAATTGATAAAGATTGCTAGCACATATTGTTCTGTTTGCTGATACGATTTAAATCATGATGATATACCTAAGCGTGGAAATCAAGGATGTAAAATAACAATTAAATAACAATGCGAATCTATCAATTGAAAGTACAGAGTATCCGCTGCAGATTAAATAAAAACTACGATCTAGATTATCCCAATGTAATAACAATTAAAGTTGATAATCTTGTTGCAACAGGCTTTCTGATTGATGAAGATCACATAAAAGAAATATTGTTTATCAATGATAAGTGGTACCGATAAGATGTCTGTTTTTCTGAACACTCAAGTGACAGTGTCAGTCTCTGTGCTGCATATGTTACCTCCAAAATTCCATTCCCTATTTCATAACTTGTAACCGATAGTCATTCGATCGATTACATCTGTCTGTTTATCTGTTTCCGGCATAGAACTTTGCACATATGTGCGGCAGTTAAAGTCGCCACACTCCATGTACCACACAAAGCAACACAAGAAAGTAGAAGAAATGCATAATAGAGACAGTAAACAGATGTGTGAGACAAAGGAATAGTAATAACGAAGAACAAAACAGTTTCATTGGAAATCATAAGTCACAAGGAGTGGATGCATCTGCGCCCGCCATTGAGAACGATTTTCAGCCATATCACCAATTGTTTCCAACCATTGGTTTCTACCCTCCCGATGACCCCAACAAGGAAGTCAATCTATACCTTCCTACGTGGCTGGCTTAGACTAACTGTTGTAGATTTCATTGACTGGTGCCATGTTTTTGTTTGACCTCCGCTAGCTCTTTTCCAGCCTGACCCTATGTCAGCTAACATTGACCGTCGAGGAAGGCGATGACTAGGCATACGTAACACATGTCCTAACCATCTCAGTTGATGTAATTTCACAGCCTCGTCTATTGATTTCCCCTCCTTACCTAACACTTGACCGAAGCCCAACCTCAATATTGCTCACCTTATTATACCACTTCACACGGGAGATAGAGCGAACGCACCTATGATCAAAGACAGCTAATCTTTTCATGTCTTCCACTCCCAATGGCCACGTCTCGCAGCCATAAAGGAGGACGGAGAGGACTGGTGAGCAGTACACTCGCCCTTTGGTCGATAGCCGGATATCACATCTACGCTACAGACGGCGTAAACTGGCGTATGCGAAACTAGCCCTCTGTATCCGTTCTGAGATTTCGTCGGAGATCAACCCGTTGTGGCTGATGGTACTTCCCAAATAAGTGAAGTGGTCAACGTGCTCTTCCACTTCACTTCGATCGATTGCATAAACTGAAGCAGTAGCTGAACAAACTGATTATTTCACTTAATTCAGCAGTTTAAACATCCCTATTGTGTTCGTGGCTACCGAAATACAGTCACGTATATAAAAGGCTCATCTGGCTTTTAAGTTATTGCACAACTCAAGTATATCCCAAACTACTGAACAAAAGTGAGTCTTCCCCTAATTTACACCTACCATACACAACCATTAAGGCTAGATAACCTAAAACGGCTAATAGGATTTGCCTAAGTATTGTATGTTCAATGGGACCACCACGTGAACAATCTGAAAGACAGACAAAAACGCCTAGGTAACAAAGAACAATTTAAATGAAATAATGAAGAATATTTAGCGTTTCAGATGGCCAGGTCACATCATTTGTCTTTCTCGACACGTTATATGCGACGAAGTAAGATTAGGCTAGGAGAACAAGAACGACAGTACCGATACATTAACTCATTGACTATCAACCTAAGTTATCGGGGAAACATAGACAATGGAGCTGGGGATTATGTGAAAACTTATGGTCACAAACTTTAAATAATAAGGCTAGAATATTGACCGAAATGCTCCAAATGAATTCATGTCTTATTTCCTACCAACTCTAATGTCACACTTAGGCATTCACTGTGTTTTGTTTCTTTTCGGTCCTACGATGTTGTAAGATGTTTGTTTTTATTATTTCCACCTGTTTTTCATCTCGACATCTACTTGATTTCTAATAACTTGGACAACCAAACAGTAACTTTCGACGGTATCAACATGTCGTGATCCTTATTATAGGGATATGTAACTTAATGAGTAACTCCTTACCAGATTTTACTCAAAAATCCATTAAGATTCATAAGAAAAATAATAGTTATGTAAATAATGAAAACAATATACACAACAAGGAATTCAAAGACTCGATAGTGCCGCCATACAGAAGTGAACATCAAAGGCTGTATGTGGAAATCTTAATAAGGTTGGAGTTAAAATGGCATTTAAACCAAAAAAAAGACCTTATTCAGTGATAAACGAAATGAATTTGAAGTGAGTTACATTAGTGGTCAAACTAGAAGATCGAAGCCAGTTAGATTATCAGAACGAGAATTTAGCTAACCTAACATAAATGAAAACTGCCTAGTTAAATAATATAAATGTTTATTCAACGCAATGCGCTGACGTGCATGTAATCTCACACAATACGGTAGGCTTTTGATACTAACTATTTGCCTAATTGGAAGAGAAGGGGGAGTGAGATTTGAAGTTGGAACTCAACACTTAAAAGTAAAATACTAAATCCAATCGGATATACCTATATATATATATATATATATATATATATATATATATATATATATATATATATTTTATATCAAACCTACATTAATAAGATTCAATATTCTAGCATTATGAGTTAAGCCAATGATTAGCTGACCCTCAAGCTACTGAAATGACACATCACACAAACGCTGAATAATGACTGAAAATGTCAGATCAATGTGTTGATTGGAGTTTCCTGTAATTTTAATTATTTTCTCTCTGGCTTATCCCCAAAATTCAAGTTCGTTTAGAACTGTTACTCTAAATTGACAAAATTCTATTGTGATTACCTATCCCAATGCAAAATGTTTATCTACCCATAGACTGAAACAGGGTGTATTATGAATATTAAATACTTGTTGAAATGTAGGTTTAAAAAATACTTCGTGAGTACATAAAGTATACTTGGGAAGTATTAACTAATTTCTACATACAAATAGTAAACATGAGAACCAATTCTAACAGAAGGTAACACCTAATAGATACACAAATGTTAACTAATAAATTACTATCAATCGACCTCAAAAATATAGTCGTCCTTCGTAATTCATTGCCATTGCATTCCACGCCTAGCTACAACGTGTCTAAAGTAGACATCTACAATAATTCTGCATCAATAAAGAAAATAAAAACTCTCATGCAGCACCATGGTTCAGTTCCATAGGTAATCGACACTTGATTATTGGTGATTTTCTTACAACCTCGGTAACTAGGAAGTAGCTTCTACTCACAAATAAGGGGATCTTCATTAACACTAACTTATATAAAAGAAAAGAAGGCGTTCAGCGAAGAGACTCTTTTCGGCGAATTCATTCACTGACCTGTACAATCGCATATATATACGAATTGTTTCAGTTAGTGGAACATTTGTAAACAATGCGACAGCATCTAGTGAGATCATCGTTTGATTACAAACATTGACGTTTTCGACGCAGTTGACGAATTCAAATGAATCTAGCACTGAGTGACGGGAGACTTGTTTTCTGATTGGTTCAAGTAAGTCTGCCAGCCATTGGGCAGTGGGGTGGTAAGTGAATTAGTCATGTCGAGGATCCGTCGAAGTGGAGTGCCCATCTTGTGTACTTTAGGAAGTCCGTAGAGTCTTGGTATATTTGAACCAGATGGTCTCAGGGATTCAAACGGTTTGTTGGTAATGAAGGATTCGTTCTTTAGTTTACGGAAGATGTCTGTTAGTTTTTGTTCAATCTGCTCCGTCATGTTTTTCTCGCTGGCCGGTTTGGTGAATTTAGATTCATCAGATAGAATGGTCAACATTTTACTGTTATAATCCATACAGTTCATGAACCGCACACTTACTTGAACCAATCAGAAAACAAGTCTCCCGTCACTCAGTGCGAGATTCATTTGAATTCGTCAACTGCGTCGAAAACGTCAATGTTTGTAATCAAACGATGATCTCACTAGATGCTGCCTCATTGTTTACAAATGTTCCACTAACTGAAACAATTTGTCACATATGCGAGCTCATCCACTCAGAAGGAGTAAACATCGGCATACCCACCGACTACCTAAAAGAACTTCTGCTGAGATGCACCCTAAACGTCCAGTTCTCCTTTAACAATGAAATATATCGTCAAAAGGATGGTATAGCTATGGGCTCACCACTAGGCCCTCTGCTTGCGGATTTCTTTATGTCGAAACTCGAAAACACTTGCCTAAAGAATATGATTGACAACTTTGAACTCTACAAGAGATACGTCGACGACACCTTCATCATCTGCAACAACGAAGAGAATTTAGAAGATATCCTGAAGTTCTTCAACAACTGACACCCTGCGATTCAGTTCACACTAGAGAAGGAGTCTAACTCAAAGATATCTTTTCTTGACGTTCAACTAACGAGACGCCAACAAGACGGAACATTAAAAAGATCCATCTACAGAAAGCCAACGTGGAACGGACAGCTCACTAACTTCCACAGTTGGGTGCCTCTATATACTAAACGAAACTTAATCCGTTCACTAAGCCACAGAATACGTAGAATTTGCAGCCTGGATGCCATAGAAGATGAAATGAACACTCTTAAGAAAATCCTCCTTGAAAATGGCTATCCAGAAAGATTTATCACAAAATCAATGAAACCCAGACCAGAGAAGCCGCCCACACCCAGTGCTCCAAAAAGACTTCTCTACATGAACCTACAGTTCAATGGAGACCAATCTACAGAAATACTGAGAAATCGGCTCTCCCGCTCATTGAAGAAAACCTTCCCTGCAGCTGAATTACGACTGACGTTCTCCACGAGACCAATGATTCGTATGAACGTGAAGGATAAGCTACCGCTGTTGGCCTCATCTATGTGCATCTACCAATTCACCTGCTCGTGTGGAGCCAGGTATATCGGCCGTACTCAGCGTTCTCTATCCAAACGCGTCAACGAACATTTACCTTCATGGTTTTATAAAGGAGAAAACCGATGCCCCCGCAGCTCGATCCTTGAACATTTGATCGACTCTGGACACCAAGTCAAACCAGAAACAAACTTCAAAGTTATCTACAGAATACAAGGCAATCTTGCTAAAAGTGTACGGATCAAACTTCTCCACATCGCAGAAGCAATGGCAATTCATCTGCTAAATCCTGAACTCTGCATACAAAAGAAATTCGTTCATTCATTAAATCTACAATGGACGTAATCTTTCTTAATTTCAGTCTTACTAATTGTATTATTTTGTCTTTTGCATTTTATTTTATCACTTTATTATTTCACATCTTCATTTATATTATTCTCTACCCCACCCTTTTGTAATCTCTACCCTCATTAACAATGTTGCTAACTTGACCCACGTCCAATTTCTAGTCAACTATGTTACGTCATCCGATTAACTTACTTATTTTCAACTGTATTATTCTCTAACCCCACCCTTATTTAATTTTAAGCACCACTCATTAACACTGTTGCCAACCTGACCTACTCTGAATTCTACTCAACTGTATTACGTCATCCAATTCACTTAATCAATTCTATTTTATTTTCTATCTTAGCGTTTGTCTCCAAGCCAAATAATACTTACATTACATAATTATCTAAACTTTATAAATTTAATGTACACACACACAAACAAAATTGTATATATATGCGATTGTACAGCGCAGTGAATGAATTCGCCGAAAAGAGTCTCTTCGCTGAACGCCTTCTTTTCTTTTATATGACTGAATGGGGATTTTCAAGTTACTAACTTATATGTAGGTGGTTGTATAACTGTATTTATTTTCCCCCTGCACTTAAAGTATGACAATACGGACAGATATTAAAGATATGATACAAGGCATAACTATGTAACGTAAATAGTTTACCATCAATTTGAGACAGAACAAAAACAACTACACAACAAAACTTACATTGATAGTGACAAAACTAATCCGCATACAGGCACAGAAAAACTATGAACTATTTGAAATGGTTTAGCATCTGACTCAAACAATGCCGATCGCCATTCACTTCTAGGCGGTTTTTGAGATAGAATTTTTCTAGAATAACAACAGAAAGCAGAGATAACCTGAGATATAAGCCAAACGAAAATATAAAATAAAAACGGTTAGTAAAATACACTGAAGTATAATTCCTTAATTACAGTAAAATAAATGTATTCATAAGGGTAGACTTTTATCAACAGCTGCCCACTTCGCTGGCTCCACATACTGAAGATCAAATGGCTGGCTAGAATGAATTAGTAAGCAACTCTGGCAACAAACTAACCCAAGGGCCGATCATTTAACAAATATGTAAAAGAAAATGGAGAGATATCGAGCATACGTTGAGGAGGCCATCGAACGACATCGCGCGTCAGGCCTTCAAGTGGAATCCAAATAGGAAGCGACGAGTAGGTCGTCGGTGCGAAGGTGATATGGAAGAGATCGTGTGGCGAAGAGGATTGGACCTAGTTGAAGAGGAAGGCAAAAAATAGAACAAAGTGGAGATGTGTTCTTGAAGGCCCAAGGGAATAATAATATTATGGGCAGACACCTTGAAACTGTGTAAAGCTCTATCTTGTAGTGGTTAGTACTGTGACTCAAAAGGTAAATTTTGTTCCATATATAGCCTATCAACCCAGCATTCATCGTTTAAAACACCACAGCTTTATCTAGTGAACTTCTGAACCATAACAACTATATCTTGTATAATTACTGTGACTGGCAGTTATTTGTTGACACTCATAATACCCTGTTGATTTAACAGAATTGAACTGATCGATTAATATTGGCATATGAGCTTTTTGAACAGAAGCCTCAATATTGGCTGGAGTCTTACATTTATAGTATTTATTTGGCCAGGAGTTTCAGTGGTAGAACCATAACCAGCTGGAATGAAGTTACATTCGGCTGACAAGTCCTGAATTGAACGATATGTGCATTTATATCCCAATACTTACCAGCTGCAGATAAATGACATCCAGTAAAATTTTATACTGACATAGTAAGGAGCATTTCAAAAGTTACCATAAAATACTTTGAAAACATTAAGGAACTATCTAGTGCGTATATTCATTTGAGTGATTTGATATGATAATACCAGTCACTAGACACCGTATACCGATACGGTATTGAATTAACCATTTGTTTTAAAATACACCTAGTTTATGGTGTATTCATTTCTTAGCAATCAGCCATCATTTTTAAATTCAATTTTCATTATATGCACAACAAACAGGACCAACCTTAATTCTGTAATTACATATGCTTTTGATACAACTTTTGCAAGTTGGAAAGATAAAGAAACAGATTTACAAAGATAGTGTAGTCTTTCCCACTGACTTTCTAAGCTCCACCCATGTTTTTTGCCAATTTCCAAAAGTGCTGATGAATCTGGAATAACTGAAATGGAAAAAGTCAATAAAAACCTCTTAACGTAGCAGACACTAATCACATGAATTTTGATAGAGACGGTTTCTTAACATATGATTATATATATACCACTGAAATATTTTAGTTGACACAATTTCACATCGCATCTAAAACCTAATGACTGATTCCCTATGACGAATTAATGTTTAGTAATCAAAAGAAACGAAAATCGAGTGAATGATTAAATATGAACAGGGATTGGTGAGAAGACATACTGTCATATTTAGGGACATATGTCATTAGTTATTGGAAAGTAAGAAAAAAAAGATATCAAAAACATTGATTATTACTTTGCCATCGATGGTTGAATGAATGCATTTGAAGATGCTACTTTCAAGTTTATCGTGTCCCGAAACTTCATAGACAAAGCAACCATCCAGTGAATGGCGAGTGATCTAAAGCCGCGATTTGCTGATTGTAAATCTAGTTGCTTAAACCAATGAGCAACATGGAGATCACGTGAAGAGAAAAATTTAGGCTCATGAGCAGTCGTGAAACCAGCTGAAAGTGACTACAGGGAACTAAATAAAACGAAGACACGCCACCAAAGCCCTGTGTTACACCAGGAACTCAGGAAAGGAATAATAGCAGCAGTAAACATGCTGTGACACTAGGATAAAATGAGTCTACAACTCGCAATAATGAATTTCCGATGCAATTTTCTGTCATTAGCTCATGTCCTAAACCACTTACTAAGACGCGGCACCTCGAAGAGCAAGCATTTTCAGGACTAAACTAAAGTAATTCATAAAAAATATTTTCACTAGACCTTTAACATATTCAGGAGATAAGCAAGCGATACAAACCAGGTAGCGACTAACCTATAGTTTCCTTAGACCTGAATCACTTTAGTAGAACGCCTAAGATTGGAAGGAGTGACGATAACTGCAGGGAGCGGGTAAGGTAAAAGTACGTGCCTAGCATACAACTACAAACGATTTCAACACCTGAACATATAACACCAATAGAATATTGTCAGGGCCTGATTCGCAATAGGATCACAGAATACAAATATGAGCACCAAGCACAGATATATACCAGTGGGTTCATGTTTACCGACAACGGTGAAACAGCACGCGGACTGATAATCAGATATAACCCAAAAGTATATTAAATCTAAATGAATATCAAGTTTTACATACCACGTTCAAGCAAATAAATGCAATCATTCGTCAGTTTATGTAGGCCAATTTCTATTAGAACTTCAATTCGTAAGTTGTAAAGAACATACAAATCGTGACCATGTAAGTCTGAACAATCACGCAATTCACGTATTTTGCAAGCAAGTTGAGTCTGATTGTCACTATCAAGCTGAAGAAAAGGTACATATACGTATACAAATATATAAAATACTATGTTATAACCCAAATATAAAATAAATGAGCATACAGCTCAAAATATCTAACAAAACATTTGCATCTCGTATGTCTTTATTAACTAAAAAGCAAACATTTTACAGGCTGCTACCATTTTAGTTTGTTAAACTCCTGAGTACTTCCCAAATAAGTGAAGTCGTCAACGTGCTCTACCACTTCACTTCCTATTTCTAATTTAGGAGTCAGTGTAGTCCAGTCCTGTAACATCATCTTACATTTGGCGGGAGTGAATCGCATGCCAAACATTCGAAGATTGCAACTCAAGGTGTTCATAAGACTCTGCATTTTGTCAGCGTCTTCATCCAAAAACAAGACTATATAATCTGCATATTCTAAGTCAACGAGATTATTTCCTGGTAACATGTCAATTCCTGAGTGTTTTAAGTCAGGATTAAGTTCATTAATACATCTGTGATGAAGTTGAATGGAAATGGGGATAATGGGCATCCTTGACGGACACCACTAGTCGTCACCACTTCAGATGACAACTCGCCGTAAGCCCTCACATGTCTGCATGAGTACGAGTAGAGTGCCTTAATCAGTGTAATATATTTTCTCGTCATTCCCTTTACAGCCAAGCATCTCCAGAGAACCTCTCGGTCGACAGAGTCGAATGCCGCCTTTAGGTCAAGAAATATAATGACTGTTGGACGCCGGTAAGAATGCCTATGTTCTAAAATCTGTCGGAGGGTAAAGATATGATCAATACACCCTCTTCCTGGTCTAAAGCCTGTCTGGCTCTCCCGTGTTTGTGCCTCCCGTGCACCACTTAGTCTACGCATGATTATTGAGCCTAGGACTTTAGATACTATATTAGTCAAGCTAATCCCTCTGTGATTATCACAGGAAGACTTGTCTCCCTTCTTGTATATGGGGATAATCAGCGACTTACACCAACTCTGAATCCCAGACGCTGCCTAGGACCTCAGCTAATGCAGACAGTAAACTGTCTCCATCGTACTTAAATACCTCTCGAGTCATTCCATCAGGTCCTGCTGCTTTGCCTTGTTTCAGATTGGTGACAGCTTTAGTAACCTCAGTTAAGGAAGGAGGACCTGTGTCTATATCCCATTCAGGGAGGTGTTGGATGTTCGGCAGGTTGAGCGTGGCTGTGGGCCAATTAAACTGCTCCTCATAGTGCTCTTTCCAACGTTCCAGTTGTCTATCCTGGGAGCTAATTATGGTGCCATTTTTCTCCTAGATTGTTTCACTTATCATTTGCCTTTTGCCACCTGTTTCCCTGATAAGCCTAAATAGTTGTCTGGTGTTACCAATCGCCGATGCCTTTTCCATCTCTTTCGCTTTTGTCGACCACCACTGTTCACGGTCGTTGCGAAGACTTTTTCTAAGTTTTCATTTGAGTACCTTTCGCTCATCATAATCGGAGTTCGCTGGAATCAGTCTTCTTGCGTCAATCAGTTCGGATGAGGCGGTAGAGATCCAATGGCTTTAACTAACTTTAGGTTTTAGCTTATTAACAGCTTTCGCAGCTGTGTCTACAGCTAACTGTATGTTGTGCCAGGCTGCCTCAGGGGAAGTCGTGCTGTCGACCTCAGAAACTCGTTTCGCTATTTCTTCCTTAAACAAGGACTCAGTGTCTCGATCTAGTTAGGGACGTAACTGTTTCGCTGCCGTCAATTCCTTATGTCTATTTAGTCATAAGCATAAACGTGCGCGAATCAGAGCGTGATCGGAGTTTACGCACGTGTTCCAGAAGGAGCAACAGTCTTCTACTGACCCTTGCCAACGACACCCTATGGCTATGTGGTCTATTTGTGTCCAGCGTTGGTTTGATGATGACAGTAGCCAGGTCAAACAGTGTCTCTCCTTATGTTTGAAGTTAGTGCTTACAAGAAACAGATGATTATCTGAACAGAACTGTAGAAGACGGTCACCGTTGTCGGTTCGCTGGCACGGAACTCCATAGGTGCCACTGACATCCTTCTCAGATTGACACAATTTCCCTACTTGAGCATTAAAGTCACCAGCTAGAACGATTATATCTGAGCGTTTAGCCTTTCGCAACAAACTAGACAGCTTTTGGCAGAACTCATCCTTCGTTTCACCCGAACTGCAGTCAGTGGGGGCGTAGGCGGAGATTACGAAAAGGCATCGGCGAGTAGTGCAGTCCTTTCTCCTTTTTACTGATCCGTTCAGACGGACAGCACACATTCGGCTATCTACCGGGACCCAGTCAAGTAATGTCTTTTCTGCCCTAGTACTCAAAATTATCTCTACACCACCTAATCCTCGTGAACAAGCTGTGGCATCTCCTGACACCCTCAAGGTGAATTTTGCAGATTCATCCTGTTGACCAGGTGGGGTTAGGTGAATAACCACACTTGGGCCTTGTATGAGTGTTTCTGAAACACAACATACATCAATGGCTCGGGACGCCACAGTCAGCTAGTGATGCTTGTCCTGTTTGGCAAAGTGTCCTAACATTAAATGCTTCTATGTAAAATTGGTGGCGTGGCTTTAGGAGACTGTCGGTGGTGGTTTTTTGGCTTCCATCGTTTTTAGTGGACACAGAGTGAAGAGGAAGTGAGGAGCCATCAAGCACAGGAGTTGCATCAGTGGAAGGAAGGCAAGATAATAGAGACGAAGATGAAGACAAAGATGAGTGAGGATTAGGGAGGTTTGGTGTGCATTTCGGATTGTGACAGCGAATGTTACTTCCCGGCTGCTCACACCGTGCAAAATTGTAGCGTGCCGCAGAACCCAGGGGACAACTGCTTGAGGCAGGTCACACGCGGCCTGCCAACAACTGTTAATTACAACTCAATTACTGGGAATAGATTTTTTGTGAACTAGACTATGAGGCACACTTATTTTGTGAGCTCTGATGATACCACCTATTTTGACACAATATGGCTGTCTCTATGCTTGACCTATAACCACTGGTTATGGGATTCACAAACCACTTCACCTTGCCCTAAACAGGATTACAAGCACCCACCGATCAGGTATTCCTCACAAGCTGCTGAGTTGGATACCTATCTTTTACCGAAGCATATGCTTGGAAAGTACATATTTTACAAAGGCTTTCTATATCTGAAAACATTAGTTATCATTTTAGCGATTATGATAGACTGTCCTATAAGCTATTCAAAAAGTATATATAATCTATGCATTTATATACTCTGACGTAAGTTAATCAGGATGGACATTTTTAGGGTTTCCTTGGTGGACCAAGATGACACAGAAATAGTACACCTCAAGGACAGATAATGGTGGCAAGATGTCGGGTCTTCCGACGCTTAAAGTGGTAATGTGGAAATTTTCATATTACGAAAACCCCACGGTCAATCATGGTGCTCCAAATGCGTTCACGTTTTATTTTCACATTACTTCTGATATCCCACTTCTGTATCTATTCTCTTTTACTCTTTTATCCTGTAGTATTCTGTTGTCTATTTCAAGCCCTAAATGTCGAGTGCGTACAAGGTGTAGCTTTTTGTAACATCCGGCTATCGATCAAAGGACACCAGTTTGCTCCCTCCTCCTTTACGACAGTGAGACATGGTCAATAGAAGACATCAAAGGACTGAATGCCTTTGGTCATAGGTGTCTCCATATAACCTCTCGTGTTACGTGGTGTAATAGGATGAGTAATATTGAGTGTTGGGCAAGGACGGAAAGTCAATCGATGACGTCACGAAGCTAGAACATGTGTTACGCATGCTTAAACATCACCTTCGACGGACAGTGTTAGCTGATATAGGGTGTTCAGGTTGAGAGAGAGAGAGAGAGCTAGTGGTGGCCAAAGAAACATGGAATCAGTTTATGAAATCCTCAATCGTAAGTTCGAGCCACGCAGAGAGGTCTAGGACTCCCGGTTGATGTCCTTGGAATTCTAAGAACCAATAACTAGGAACAACTGATAGCATGGCTTAAAGTCGTTCTGAATGGAGCATATATTGATGATATAGCTCAAAATTGGACTCAGTGACGCAGATGCATTCGCTCCTCACGATCTAATATACCCACTGAACCCCATCACCTTTTCGTGTGAATACTTTTTCTCCTCATTAACATTCTTACGAATCTCTTCCTCTCTCTCTTCGGTCCTTACGTGCTACACGGAGTGTGGGAAGTTGAATTGATAAAATTCTGTGCAAAGTTTTATGTTAAAACTAGCCAGTCAATATGTGGCTTTTTGTACTTCTAAATATTAATTTCTGGCTCTGTCACCAATGTGTACCTTATTGTTTGTAGACCAGGAGTATTTTGCATAAGCTATTAACCAGCTTACTATTACTCCAGGAGTGTTATGCAGCTGAAAACTGATATCATTTCGGGGTGACGACGTCCACAGAATTTCAACTGCTTTTCTATTCAAATACCACCACGTCTTATCATTTAGTGAAGGGGAGATAAGTGTATTTTGCTGTCTAAGCTTAAAGGAAACTACCACGAGTAGTATTCAATGTTTGACGTTAACACTTGAAGTTGTACAGACAAAAGCTATCTCCCCCCAACACCTTCATTTTGTAACAGGACACTGAAAGTTGACCACTAGATGTAAAGAAAAGCAACAAAAGTTTATCCCTGATATCGCAAACTATTCTGAGGATAATGTTTGAGTTAAAAATCAAATTTAGGGTCACAAAAGTAAATGAACACATCTTATGGAGAATAACCCCTGCTACAACTCAAAAGACCTAAATCTAAGGGTGGTTGTTTTTTACCCTGTCATTCGCCTTGTGTGATAATAACAAGCGGAGTGAATGCTTTGTGTTCAAGACGTCGTCCAGTAAATAACGGTTCGTTGATATCTGAATGACAAACAAATCGTACCATTGCCCAACTTGGGCTCCTATGTAAATTTAAGGGAATACAGTTTCGTGAAAAAAAACTCCATTCCATAAGATGCTGCTTGAAATTATTAGATGGCATGTATGTATCACATTTAACTTACCATTTTGAAGAAACAGTATTGTACTTCCTCCACTTATGCACCAAGCGTACAATTCAATTAAAAAAGATATTTACAGAGGTAATCATTAGGAAAATTTGCCAGTATACCACTTTGCAAAATAATTATGAAGAAAACTCACGCAATCAAATAACTTACATAAACCAGTTCACGATTCTCCATGAGATACTCAAAAATGCTTTGAATACACGTTTTAAAAGTGAGTTTATTTGGTGATCCTATTGAAAGACATAACATTCGTTATAAATGCACAGTGCGATAAAAGACAGCAGTTAGATTAATATCTCTCAAGTAAATTCATAAAACGAACATAATAACTGGAAATAATGGAGCGAAATATTATGGCACTGAGTATTACAAAACGCACTAGAGAAATACTGAACTCTCTACGTGACTCCTGGTCAAATGTTGAAACAGTTACTAGATTTTGTACCTACCTAAAATACCAAACACAATTGGACCGGTTAATTATAGCAAGCACAGGAAAAAAATAAGTAAATTTCAAAGATGTCTACCAGACTATCGTTGTTGAAAATAGGATTCGCAAAAGAATCTGAAGATAAGTTCCATACCTTTCAATGTGTTCCAGATTACTTCAGATGTGTCCAATGGGCGAGAACGTAGAACATCAACATCACTTGCATGCGAACTTGCATTTGATCGGTTAACTGTACGTGAATGACCTATGGTATAAACTTTACTGTAACAACTTACTTGAATTTAGAATTATGGGGAACTCCATCTTTACCTGGTCAGGACTAAGCTCTGAGTTCGGGAGCCATACTGGTGCATCGCATTCGTACGCTAGATATAAATCCTGACTATTACGTAAGAGCATAGGTATTACCTTTAATAACAGTATGTCCGCTAGAATTCCTGACATTATATTTGTGGACTTATATGGAAAAACATTTACAGTCTGGAGTTAAAGTATATAAGACGCCAACAAACCAGTTTTCCTGACACAAAAGACGGAGGAGGGCTAAGTATTGTCCCTTCGCAAGTGTCAAACTTTGCTTGGAACACCACATAAGGCAGTTTGTAAAACGATTCAAAGGAGCAAGTGGCCTGCTAAAATGTATGTTATTCGCTAAAAACCTACAGGAAACGAAAGCATCAATTCCCGAGAAACGGCACCAACTGAACGGTCAACATCAACGTCTAAGAGATGAAAGCACAAACAGGATACTCACTGAACTCCGAGCTTATTCTCAGAATTTTCTTTGACACTGAGGAATGGGGGAATAGTGCTACGAACTGTTCACCATCTTCACGAATATAATACAGGATGTTATCTAAATACCCCTCAACGGGTTTTCTGATATAAGTTTACAAATTTGCATATACTCGCTAATAGGTACGAACATGTCGAAATCATAAAACCTGGATTTCTTCCTCTCCTGCTCTTGAAATTCGACTTCCTGTGACAAGTCTACAATTTCCTCGATTTCCAGAGGGTTTCCATATGTGCTTATGTGGCCCAAGCCAACACTGTATCCAGATTCTTCCATCACATGTGTATAAGAGTCTTTAAGTCCACTCTCGTCTCTCTTGTCATCTTTAGTGTTATGGACAACTTCACCGCACTCAACTCCAAACTCCTGTTTTATTAATGACAACATCTTCAGACATATCACCCGCTGGAGTCTAGTGGCTTGCACCCGTGTCAAACATATGGCCTTGAGATCACTCAGTATCCAATAGCTTCCACTGGCTGGACTTATTTATCACGTTCTGTTAAAGTTCCGCTTGGAAATTTTTTTGCCAATAATTTTTAATAAAATTATGTTATGTGTTATCTTGATTGATGGAAATTCCTATTTTTTGGCTAGTTATGTTGGTTTCCACGTCATGTGATCTGACTGCGACACACTTTTAGCATATTGGTTGCAATGATTAGTGTTTCAGGCTGACTGTATCGAAATATCGGTGTAATGAGGAAAATAGGATAGTTGGAGGGTAGTGCCATTTACAAAAATCGTTTACTCCATGTATAAACTGCACCTTCCGGCATAGTATCATTCAATGAAGACTTCATGTCTCAGGATATTAACTCAGCCTATTTTCGTGTGAAGAACAATCTTTTTGACAAAATAATTCTCTTAGTACTTGGAAATCACCTGTAAATGCTATCAGAATCGCCTGTGGGAACCTAAGTTATCATTTAATCCTAAATCGTATGGACTACGCAACCACAACTACCTTCTCAAGGTTAACACCCATAAACTCACCACTAGAGCTAACTTCTTCACCATTAAATATTGCAAACTTTGGAACCAACTACCCTCTGAGATAAGATCCTGTGAAAGGCCTGACAGTTTCAAAAGGAGCCTAGAAAAACATATAAACATGTCCACCCTAGCCCGCCTCAAAGATCTCAACTGCTGGTAGAGTGGAGAGACAATGGCTTTTCAATATTTAACTACGGAAAGTACACTAGTCCCAATACCAATATAATAACACTTAGTAATTATGTAGGTTCAATACTTGAAATTCGATTGTCATTAAAATACTTAAAATGATTAAAATAGCTATGCGGCAAGTGTTCTCTTGCTTTACCATGCTTGTTTCCCTTATAACACTCAGTTATTGAGCCTAATGTATTCTTTGATAATACGAATTATGACACTGACTATGCTCTTATTATACATAGATTGATTTACTTTACGACTACCTGTAGTACTAACTACCCTTCTGTAGTATTGTTAAACAAATGCTGAAATTTTGTTGGTTCTGTTAATATCTTTTTATAATATATGTAGACAGGTTACTTTGCAATGTCAAATGTTGACTATATATAAGACTGTCATGATAATTTAGTACACTAAGTCCTGCCAACCGACCTTACCTTCAGTTCATACTACCTACATTGATCCCTAACTATATTGTTCTGCTGAATCTTGCTTCACTATTCACAAAACCTATTCTTTTTATTCTTTAAGGTTCTAACTTCTTGTAAAGTAATCTGTTCATTAGGACGCATGCATACATATATAATGTTCATAAAGATGTACGCGGAGACCTATTGGAAGCACTCATTAAGAAAGCTAGGGAGATGGAATATGAGGTACGAACATGTCTGGTACCAAGCAATATATTTGCGGTAGCCATAATAATCATAGTCTCAGAGCTTAACATCAAAAAAGGAGGGAGGGTGGCGTTAGCTGATCAGTAGATATGGTGGGGGTCACTAAGGTGAATCGCCCCATTCTGCAGGAACAGCAATATACAAATTAAAGGCTCGAGATATTTCTGATTTTTATGAGGGCTTAGATCTTTATCTTGAAAAAGATAATAATGAACGCCTTGACAGATCATGCTTCTACCTTTAAATATATACCATTCGCTCAGCCTATTGTTGAGATGCGACCATGTGGGATCTGCACAGATTTATGGGGCATCTTATAAACTAACTTGCTGTCCATTGTCGGATCTTTAAATACCACTTCACAATGTCTTATCTCATTCATTTTCCAATAACGTCTTTACTTGATCCTCATTATATCCCATTAAACCTAACATTTTACAGCTCTTTATGACTTATTATATTCCTACTCTCTGAAGGGTACGGTTGTACATTAAATGCACAAAAAGGTATAAAACAAAAACAACTGGCACAACTGAGGATAAATGTATTAAAACCAAAAGTGGACATCATGATAGTACGAGATATACGTGTAGCATTATACATTGCAAATGAACGTTGTCAGCCTAGGGAGTTTTCTTTATTAATGCATTTATTAATGATACTTGCACTTACCTATTTCATTACAATTTAATGATTCACCTCAGCACTTTTACTTTTCTAAAACAGCTTTCAATCCCTTGTAAACGTTGTACTTACCTCAATATTGGTTGGTTATCGTATGCCGACAACCACGGGATGAAAACGAAACGAAGTCGATTTTCCCGCTCAACCTGGAGGACAACTGTACAATTCAATAACTATACAGCCTAGTTCAGACAATGTGTATTTATATAAATATCAAATATTTAACTGTTGAAATATTATTAACTTGTAGACAATCTACGATTTGATATTATATCATACTTGATCGTGCCTGTAAAAATGGCATGCATTTTCATGTAAATTTATGTTTATATGAGAATATACATTATTATTATTATTATTTAGATGTGCTTTCCACTCTAAGTGTGGTTGGACAGGAATTATGGGAAGTTGAAAGGTTATCTCTAAGTGGATTTCATATATATTGGCACTGATTGGTAAAGTGTATTATAGGTCATGTGAATTAAATGTACAAAATGCCTCAACTTTAATAATATTGTGCCATTGTCTACTTAGCTGACTGATAGGATAACAAACGTGGGTGGTTGTCACGATTATTGCAAGTACAGTTCAGTGGAGAGGGCAATTAGAACTGGAAATTTGTGTGCTGGAAATCGATTAAAACATTTGACAGAAGAATATCTGTGCAAACCTTCGTCTGGCAAATATGCACCCACAATGCACCAGAAAATAAATGAATAAGAATAACCGGAGGAATTAAAGGCAATACTTGTTCATGACATTTAAGTTCTGTACGACCGGACTCATTGATGACAAGTGATTCAGACTAAGTCAGGAAATATGACATAACACACATAAGGTTAACTTCGGGACATGAAGATCTTTCAATATCATTTGTTAATATATGAAAAATATAAATCGTGGTCTTCCAGTTCACTGAAAGTAGAGATCCATATATGTGGCCGCTCTCAATCGTAGAAACACTTTGTGCAAGAGATTACACAACATCACTCACTACTTTGGAAGTAAGAGAACTGAACTCACCTCCTCGAAAACATAATCGTGTTTTGGAACCTAGTTCGGCACTGTGGGTAACATAATCCTGGGGCTGTCTTCCTTTGACGGAATAAGGCACTCGACTACACATGGTCTAATATATATGTAAAAAATGCCAGGCAAGTATCCATAAAAACAAAAGGCTCTTTGGTATCGACAAGGAATTCTGAAATGACGATGGCAACTGAAAACTGTATATATTGCGGGAGAGTATTTTGTCACTCAGACAAACCTATTTCATTAACCGCACTGACAACTAGGACGGAGATGGACTGTCGAAAATTGGGAATATATTATTATTATTATTTGTCATCCCTTCGCTCAGAAAACGCTGACTATTTCGGACCACTTGTAGTAGACATGTTAGAAGAGTAGCAAACGTTATGGCAGCATTTTCATGTCTCCAGAGAATTTGAGGACTTAAGAGGGGAAGTTGGAAGCAATCGGTTGTCATTGAGATACCCGATCCGTCTGTCAGAAAGAAATATTCAGCTGTAACGGTTCCCACACAGTAGAAGCTGAAGTTGGATGGCACCAGTGTATGTGGTGGTGGAAACAATCAAATAATAATGACCCACTGTATAAAAGTAATGGCTATAATTTTCATATGGATACGCAAAGGACTTAATGATCACGTTTTACAGCATTCTAGTGATAGCCACTGCAGTAAATTTAGTCTTTTACCTCCTAGTTCACCCTAAATTAACCACGAGATATTCTGGGTAGTTTTCGAGGTCATTGGTTCGTTTGGATCGCTCTATTCACAGTATAGTTGAGTCGTCACGTCCAGGAATAAAGAGGTATTCCATTTGTCTAATTTTGTGAAAATGAGAAGTGTAGAACTAGTTTTAGGCTTCCGTAGTCGAAGTACTCAATTCTTTCTTATATTTCGGTCGTAATGTCACCCATAGCTATCCTGATATGCCAGAGGAGGAGGAAATGCACCCAGATAAATAGTGCGTAGAAAGGGCTTCTGTTTTTGTTTCGAAGAGTCTTATGTTTCTGAATATTTTTTTCTTAATTTTCTGAGTTATAAACTGATTAAATAGAGTTATTGATGGTATGACAACTATTCTATGAGATCCGGCATTTCGATGAAGCATACATTCGCATATGCAAGTCATATATCTGTTCTGAGGAGTGCATGTTGCGTTTGAGTCATTTTATTTTCATCCGAAATAAATGAAACTGTTCATAACACATCGAAGAAACCAAATTATGATTGAGACGCCCGACCACATTTCGTGGTGATTATGCCCGTTTCGAAGTTCATAGTTAAAATGATTTAGCGGTGGATGTAATACAAGAGGAATTCACATTTTATGGAATGTTGGAATAGCTTGACTGGTTAACGTGACAGGTTGTGTCGAGCGTACTGTGTGCCGAGACTAGCAAAATAGAATGTGTTTTCTTTTGGAAGGTATCACTGTTAGCAATTCGTATTGCACTTCTGCTTAATTGCGGGTTGAGGGGTCATCCTACTACTCTAACTGCAATAAGTGATTCTCAACACTGAGTAAACGCCCATTAGGCTGATTTATTCAAATCAATTTATAGTTCTTTGGAGGCAACAATCTCTGTAGTGGATTAGATGTTTGAGTGTTGACAGTATACTGAAGCAATACGTATTTTATCCCAACCTTATTTGTTGACGTTGTTTAGTGTGCTGATGGTAATCAATAAACCAACTATATTGGTTTATACTTGGCTGACCAGTCAGTCCTGTACCTACCATCCATCTTTTAATACCTCTTGCGCCAAGGCTGATTTGTTAATTGTACAGGTAAAATAGTATTCTGAGTTCCCGAGAGTTTTATTCTTACTAGGGAGAAATTCCCTAATGCAGGTATGGACAACACCTTTAATCAAGTTACGTGAAACGCACCTAATACGCACTGCGGGAC